CTGATTATTCCCCGCGGCAGCTGTTGTCGTTAAGGCTGATGAATATGGTTTACCGACGTTTGTTGTTGCCGGAGTTGTTCTTGATTTTTCCACGGCGGCGGTTGTTCAGGCTGATGAATATGGTTTTGTGGTAGTTGTTGTTGCCGGAGCTGTTCTTGATTATTCCACGGCAGCAGTTGTTTTGGCTGATGATTATGGTTTTGCGGCAGATGTTGTTGCCGGAGCGGTTCCTGATTATTCCACCGCGACAGTTGTTGTTGAGGCTGATGAATATTGTTTAGCGGCGGTTATTTTCGGCGGAGCTGTTCTTGATTATTCCACAACGGCAATTGTTCAGGCTGATGATTATGGTTTTGCGCCAATTGTTGTTGACAGATCTGTTCTTGATTATTCCACGACGCCGATTACGCAGGCTGACGAATATGTTTTTGCGGTAGTTGTTGTTGCCGGCGCTGTTCCTGATTGTTCCACCGCAACAGCTGTTGTCGTTAAGGCTGATGAATATGGTTTACCAGCGTTTGTTGTTGCCGGAGTTGTTCTCGATTTTTCCACGGCGGCAGTTGTTCAGGCTGATGAATATGGTTTTGCGGCAGATATTGTTGCCGGAGCGGTTCCTGATTATTCCACCGCGGCAGTTGTTGTTGAGGCTGATGAATATAGTTTAGCGGCGGTTATTGTTGGCGGAGCTGTTCTTGATTATTCCAAAACGGCAGTTTTTCAGGCTGATGATTATGGTTTTGCGCCAGTTGTTGTTGCCGGATCTGTTCTTGATTATTCCACGGCGCCAATTATTCAGGCTGATGAATATTGTTTTGCGGCAGTTGTTGTTGCTATTAATCACTTCGAATTTAAAATTTTATTATTTTTATTATTATTATGGTTATTGTTGTTGTTCTTGTTGTTCTTGTTCGCGGTCTTCTTCTACTACTTGTTCGTGTACTTGCTCTTCTACGTCTTGAACATGTTCATGTGCATCTTCTTCGTTCTCGTCAACATCTTCTTCTTC